ACATTAGTTTCTTCTAGATCTTTTCCCACAAACAATAAAACAGTAGGTACTGTGACAGACTGCAAATTCACATTAACTTTAGATTTGACAAGCACTTCGTATCTACTATATGAGTTTTACAATTATCTTATAAAGTAGAAAGAATAAGTAGTATACTCTCCCCTCCCCACTCCCTTTTTTATTTAAAAAGAACCACAAAAGGAATAAATGCTGATTAAAAAGTCTCAATACTACTTTGTATGGTACTATAATGGTAGATACATGTCATTATACATTTGTCCAAACCCATACAATGTACAACACCAAGAGTGAAGCCTAATGTAAACTATGGACTTTGGGTGAAAATGACATGTATTCAATGTAGGTTCATCAACTGTAACAAACGTACCACTCTGGAAGATACTGATAATGCAGGAGGCTATGCATGTGTCGAGGGGCAGGGATATATGGGAAATCTCTGTGCCTTCCACTCAATTTTGCTGTGAACTTAAAACTGTTCTAAAAAATAAAGTCTAGTAAAAAAAATTTTTAAGCCTGAATACAAAAGAATATGTAAAGGGCCGGCTGAGTGGCTCGTTTGTTAAGAATTGGCTTGGGAGCGTGAGCTCTGTGCAGCAGGGCCCTGGTTCAGATCTCACATGGGCCAGTGATGCTGCACCCCCTACAGCTAAGATGGTGAACAACAGGCTCAACCTGGAGCTGGGCTGCCATGAGTCGCCAGTGACAGTGTAGGCTGCAGTGGGGCTGCAGTGGGCTGCCAGTGAGCTACCGTGAGTGGTCGGCAGCCTGCGTAAGCCGCCATGAGCGGCCGGTCCAATGGCCGGTGACCATTCTGCCTCAGCCAGGAAGAGTGCAATGATCACAATACCAACATGGGCCAGTGAAACAATGTCTTCCACAACTAGACTGAAGAACAAAAGGACAGCAACTTGTCTGTTCCCCTTCCCTGATTCCCCATGTTGTTCCCTCCCCCAATTCCCCAATAAAATCTTAAAAAAACCAAAACAGAATATGTAAAAAGTGTAAGTTTCACTCCCTGCTCAGCATCCAACTCCCTCCACCCATTTTCAAAAAATATATGAAGAAAGGAATTTAACGAAGTAAACTGACAAATCTTAGTAGTTAACAAGATTATATTAAATGAGAATCAAGCACTATTAAGAGTCAAGAATTAAATCAATTACACTTAAGTTTGAAAAAAGTCAGGAGTCCATAATGACAAAGGTAATAGATAAATTTGATTCCAACATTTTTTGGAGTTCAGCGTTTTACGTTAGAACAAAATATTTTGTAACCCATGCTTTGCCATTCAGTAAATTCATGCTACTTATGATATTTTATGACTACTTTTTTGGCAGTTATATTTCATACCTAGAAAGAACTATAATTTTATATATATGTACATATATATATATATACACACACACACATAAACACATATATCACATCTATATTACATAATTGACTTTTTACTTCTTTCTCCAAGACTGAAGTCTACACATTTACTTTTTCTTGTATTTGTCTCTGTGACAGAGAGATTCCCAAACAGAAAGTCTAGAATTCATAAAGATGAACCATGCATTTCTAAACAGGACCTGTGTCAAAATCAACACATTCCTAATTCCAAGTTTTACTATATATTATTGAGTGTATGTTTATGCAAAATATAAATCTTCTTTGTATCATAGCAATATTGCAAAAAGACCTTTAATCAAGAAAACTTCAAATTTTTACTTTCCAATTCCAGTTTCATTCTAGAACTTGCTAGCTTTCAGACACATTAAGAGAACAAGATATAAGTAAATATCTGTGCAAATTATTAGCACAGGTCTGAATTGTGGAAGAAATTAGATTGTTTTATGGGAAGCAACTAAGTGCCAAGTAAAAATTAATCCAAATCAAGACATTCAACACAATTTTTACTTCTGGCAACTCTAGCTCCTGGCTAGAAAATCTATCCCAGCTATTGAAAATTTATTGAGCTATAAAAATATTGGTAGATTTGGCAGCCCTTTCTCTCAAGCTAAAAGTACTGTTATTGGTTTGTACTATATGTATAAAAGCTTTGAATTAGATCAATGATTCTAAAGTGGAAGCCAGTGGTGAACCATATCATCTAGGGGATTTTTTTCCCTTCAAAATACGTGTATTGACCTCCCTTTACATTCTCCCTACCACTAAGATTCTGAAGGGAAATGGAGATGATATAATGGATATGTGTGTGCCTTTTTAAAAAAACTCCTAGATTATTCATATATATATATCTGCACTTTCATAAAGAATTTCTGAATTAGGTCCAACTCTATTTTTAACATTGTATCAATAGGAATCAGAAGGAGCAAAGCTACAAAGTCACAATAGCTCAGTAGAAGGCTCTGCAGGTAAGGGGCCGTACTCACACCAGCTATAAAAGCCACCTTTAGAGCGTTCTGTGCCAACTACCTCCAGAATCCATCACATCACATTTTAGACAATGACAAATGTTCAGTTCATCATCCTGAGGAAAGTACACAGTCTGTTAGAGAGACAAAAATGTAAAAAGCTATTTTTTTACACAAAAAAACTAAGAAGCCATAGACAATGAAAGACAAAACTTCTATTCCTGCACTAAAAAAATAATAACAAAGTACTAATTTGTGCAGCTGATAACTTGTTTGGAGACTTTCTGGCCATATTTTATCATTTTTTTTATTATGTAGCATTGGGTTTTTTTTCTATTATAAAGCTCAGTAAGCTGAAAATATTACTCATTCTAGAACTGAATAAATTACTATAAGATGCCAAAACTGTATGAAAAACAATCAAACTAAATCTATTGCATGTGAAGTTGTCTTAAGAGCTGGATTTAAAAACAAGCTTTCAAGGTCCACTTTGGAGCAAACAATTATACTTCTTTACAGCCATCGTTTCAAATTCCTTAAACAGCTCCGATACTGAAATGTGTCAGAAAAGTAGACTCTAATGATATATAAATAATCAGCCAATTATTATTATATTCTAATTAGGACTAGTGTTTCTTAAATCACTTGGTAATTTCCTACTCAGTTGTTCAACTCTATTGCATTCTACAATGACACCTACTGGCCATTCAAAATCAGCCATTAGTTCTCTAAGACGGCTCTAGTAGGCTGATTACATAATAAGAAGAAACACATACACACACACACACACACACACACACACACACCCACACACACCACCCTACATAAAAGAAGAGATTTGTTCACAGGTACTCACACTACAGAATTGCAACGAAAATAGAGGCAGAAGTATTCTTTGTGACTGAGATTGTATTAGTTTTGCAAAAAGGTAAAAAGACAAATGAAACACCAAGTATCAAAATTTTTATCTGAAGCACTGATAAATAATATCTTAGTACTCTAAACATTTCAGAACTAACAAACAAACTAATGATCCACCTCTCCTTACCAAACAATATTTAAAGAAATAAATGAATTTTTGATATAGGTTCTGGGATATATTAATATAAATTATCATTAGTAGAAAAAGTAAAATTATAGTACACTTATAATACTACATTAGCCCTGTCTTCTAAGCTAAAGGCAACATTTCAATCAGCTTACATTTTAGAAATTTATAATGCTTCTTTTAAAACTGTTTTCCAATGAAAACCCAAGTTTTAATGTAGTTTGTCCTTCATAACACATACTTAATGAAATTCCTATTTAACTGTACATTTCATTGTGCAAACAATGAATTATTAAAAACTCAGGAAAAAAATATAATTCAGTTATTTATGCCTATAAATACATTTCACCTCAATCGGAGAGGTTCAAAGAGCATACTTTTCAAACCTAACAAATAACCCATAACTAGTTTCTCAGACTTACAGAGCAAATTACTTAAAAGATGACTTTTGCACCCTTCCCCCCATTCAGACCACCACCTTATTTTCAGTCTCTAACACCCACAATGTCTCGGGGGGAAAGTCTAACAACTAAATTTCTAGTCATTTTCCAATTTGCACTTACCTCCTACTATAGATTTTTGAGGTTCTCCACTTTCCTGAAGATTAAAAAAAAGGAAGTATTTATAATCAGCCTTGACCTCAAAACAAATAAATTCATGAACTACAAAACGTGAACCTTGCGACGCTCATCTCTAACGACTCTCTCAACCCAAGTCCATATTTGGGATAAGCACTTCGTGACTACTCTGTCCTTCATGCTTCTTCGCTTACAGAGCCTATCGGGGTAGAAGACACTCAAACCAAGGAAAAACTATTCTGACACATCAATAGGTTGGTTGCCAGACCTTCTCTTCCATGAGGGACAAACCTAGTTGTTTGGATAAATAACAGCCAAGGGTTACATAATATATAGCTATAAAGAGTTTCAAGGATCTGACAGCCAGTAAATATCTTTCTTCTCCGCTCCCCCTTCCCACCCAGAGAAATGGCCCTAAGAAGCAATCCTTAGGTTTTCTATCAGGTGTCTGCAATGCCTTGTCCTTTTCTCTCTCTCCGAGCTTCGTGCAAGGAATTCCTCCAGCCATCACGATACTGTCTTGCTCCCGCCTCTCTCCTTTCCTTGCCGGCGCCACCGCAGCCCCCCACGCCCTAGACCCCCACGTCGCCGCACAGGGTTCAGCCTTCACCCGCCTCAGTTGCCTTCTCCTCACGACCCTCCTAAGCCGCTACCGGGTCTACGAGAGGTTCCGGAACCACTAACAGCACTCCGGCTGTCGCCTTCCCAGACCACCCTCGACAGATTCCCTCTATAGTTCCTGCAGCCGGACAAGAAGAAATTCCCTTCTGATCTAGCACTCTGCGTCCCCCAAAGACAGCGCCGCCGCCTACCTGTCACCCCGCTGCCTCCGGCTTCTTACCGCCACCGCCTCCCGCAGCAGCCTGCCAACTGCAGCGCAACAACCAGCCCTCCCATTGGGTGAGTCCACGCTCTAACAACAGCCTCATTTATTGGCTGCAGGATGTTCGCGGCTTCTGTGCAATGTCTAAGCATTCCGGCATCCAAGCAAGGAAAACATCGCCTCTTCCCTGCCAATCTGTCCTCCACGACTTCTCTTACCTCAGTCAGACTCCGAATGCACAGATATGCGGGGAAATGTCAACTTCTAGCTTTTTTCATGTCACCTCCACTTGGTCCAGGAATCTGTGGCCCTGAATCGGAACGTTAAATGGCTTCTCTGCTTTCCTGCCGTGAGGTACTCGAGGTGACAACTTCCGTTTCCGTTTGGCTCCGGCTGTAGGGTTGAATATTGAATGTCCTGAGAGGTCAGATTGCTGTCAGGTAAGTTACAGAGTTGGTGGGAGATCTCTTGATTGGGAATAAGAACGCAACTCTATTGTGGGGATTGTAGAAACGGAGAGACTAAATGGAGAAGGATGCTTAGCATGTGTAACTGTAGAGGGAAGGAGATGGAAGAATTAGCGGGAGAAAACTTAAGTCCGGGGTTGTAGAAGGATGCAGTGAGAATTTCTGTGGTTAAATCCAGATGTTTCAGCCAACCGCAGCACCCCTTGCCCCATAGGTTTTGGATTACCTTTGAATTGAACAAAGGTGAATAGCCCCCAAATGGGAAATTTGTGAAATAGGGATAATTGTGATGCCTACCTCACAAGCGTGTATAGTTTTCAATAAGATTTTTCTGGTATGAGTGTTTACGGACATAGCGTTAAAGTGAAAAAAATATCAGGGTACAAAATCATCTTTTTTTTTAGAGTGATTACTATTTTTAAGTGTAGGGACTGGAAGGGACACTGAACGTTAATTTGTCTTTTATTTTCTAATGTTCTTATTCGCAATTTTAAAAATATGGGGAAATTGAGATATATACTTGAAATCTTTGGTAAACCGTAAAATTACATGTAGTGTAAGTGGCATCATCTTCTTTATTTTCTTCTTAGGGAAGGGATGCCCCCTTCAGTGGAGGTTTATCTCCATCAAACTTATAGGTTCACTCCAAACAGGTAGATAGCTTTTTTAAATATTATGACTACCTGTTCTTTCTTTATTGAACTAAATTCTTTGCTATTCTTATTTGAGCAGCTCTGAAACTGAAATAATAACCCGTTTTTGAGTCCTTGACATAATTTGTCACTTTATTTAATTTTAGTTTTTATTGCGAAGTATACATAACAGAAGGGTGTATAAAACATAAATACATTTAAAAGAATTGTAACTAAGCAAACACTTGTGTAACCACCCCTCAGGGTAGGAAATAAAGCATTACCAACAGAAATGATTGCCCTTTAAGGAGGTGAAAATTGGTACTTAGGGTGGTAGAGGGGTGAAAAAAATCTTAGACACTACAACTCATGCCCCTCCAAAGAGCCATTGGACATAAACAGATAAACAGTATATCTGTAGTATTAAAATTTCATTTGGGGCTGGGGTAGGGGGGCGATAAGCATGTGATAGGGGAAAAAACATGTCCAAAAAAGCTCCTTTGTGGTACAGAAATTAAAAATAGATCAAAAGCACTGCCTTAGAAGCTCCCTGTAGAGCTCTGATTCCATCTCCACCAAGAGGTAACCACTATCCTGATTTGTGATGAGCATTTACTTGGTTTACTTTAATTTTTACATTTGTGATGCATTCCTAAAAAAAATGAATTATTAGGATTTTCAATTCATATAAATGGGATCAAAATAATTTTTTTTCTGACTCACCCCTTGCCCATTATTATATTTGTAAATTCATTCATACTTTTGCATGTAGTTTTTCATTGTGTAATATTCCACACGTGACTATTCCATAATTAATCCATTATTGTTGTTGGATGTTTGGATTTTTTACAGCATGAACAGTGTGGCTAAAAAGATGCTTGTAAAAAATAATATCTGTTGTTATACACATGAAAGAGTTTCTCTAGAGCAGTGTGTTCCAATGGAAATATAATGCAAGCCACATATGTAATTTAAAATTTTCTAGTAGCCATATAAAAATGTAAAAAGAAAAATAAATTAATAATATATTTCATGTAACCCAGTATGTTCAACGTATTGTTTAAAGATGTAATCAGTATTAAAAGTTGTTAATGAAATATTTTACATTTTCATACTGTCTTCAAAATTGATGTATTTTATGCTTACGGAATGTTTCTATGCTGTTTTCATGAGTATAAACACTTGCTCTGTTTCTGTTTTATCAAATACCATTGAAAAAGTAGATCCAAAACCAAAAATTTTTCCAAACACACGTTAAAATGCTTCCATAACTAATTTAAGAGTCTGCTTGAAATTTAAATTAATTAAAGTTAAATAAAAAGCTTCCCCAATTACACTTAGCCACTTTTCAACTGCTTATGGCTACATATTGGGCAGTGCTAGACCTAGAGTATATATACCTAGAATTGGAATTGCTAGGCCATAGGTATTCAAATGTTCAGCTTTTCTAGGTCATGCCAAACAATTTTTCAAAGTGGTTGTGCTAAGTCACATTCTCATACTTAGGTGTGAAAATGGAAGGCACAACTTATGTTATATGAAGCAAATGACATTCAGATTAAATGAGTGGCCCAGGATTTTATAGCGATCAATAGGGCATCCAGGATTTGATAACAGATCTGTACAGCACCAAAGTCTTCAGTTAAGTAGAATTCCAAACTCTTCCTTCAAGTGATCAGGATATCATTGTTTGATTTATGGCTATTCTCAAGTAGAAAAGATTTTTAAAAGAAAATGAAAAGTTTCCTAGAAATAGTGTCCAACTTTTTGTTCGTTTTGAAAAGTCATTGAAATACTCTATTTAGTAAATGCCTATAAAGGGACTCCTTCTGAAATATTTTAATTAGGTAGGATAGAAAACACATTGAATGTATTAAAAGAAATTTGTTCAGGAAAAATTAGTATATGTATACTTTCATATTTTCTTTCAAAGATTTATCTTCAAAATTACTTAATATTTTGAGCTTAGTAATATTGTAACTTTGAAATAGCCTTCATCTCATGGTAATGTTTCAACTTTTTATTTTCAGAATCAAATTTATCAAAGAATTTTGATGTTTGTTTTGTAGTCTCTTCAAAGTACATTGGTACTCAATGAATTCTAGAATAGACATTTGCCATAATAAGAGTTTGTCTTATAATTTCTTTAAACATTTTTGGAATCAAACATTATTTTAAAAAGTTTTTTTGGAAACAAGGTTAGAAGGAGCCAAGACATTACCATTCTAATTAAATGCTTCTATAAGTCTTTCGTAATAATGTATTGAATTTTAAAAGTCAGTCTGAAATCTGAAACCATAATTCTTTCCTTTATATTATTGAATCTGTCAAGTAATAATGCAATAATGGATTAAATGTTTCATTCGAAGTTATGAATGTTGCAGTTTTAACTTGTGTTTGGTGGGTATTGCTTTTTAGTCTTTTAAATGTGAAAATCACCAACATAATGTTTTGTGATATCTTAACATGTGTATACATATAAATATTAAATGTTAATTTGTAAGAATTAGTATGTACCATTTTCCCCTCATATTCTGGGAACTATTGTTTAATGAAATGAGCATTTCACATAATATGTTTTAGTATATACTATGTAATAATTACCATTGTCTTCTAAAATGCAGTATAAGAATCCTGCCTGTTTATAGTTATAAATGCAAACATAATGGTAATCCTTAACTTGATTTGGTTTTATTTCTGGAGAGCAGTGATTATAGAATTGCTACTACTAATCTTATGCAAATTTACAGTATAGCATTATTAAATTATACCCCTTTAATTTGAAATTCATAGCAATTTATGTGGACTGAGTTAAAGTTTATTTTCACATTATTTGTAAAAATAACACTAGTAAAACTGAAATATTTATATAACTACTGAGGGCATATTTTATTTAAGGAAGCAAACTTATCCATTAAAATCGGGTCCTAAGGTCTCTACTGGTCTAGTTCTGAAGTTAGCAAACTACAGCCTGCTGGCCATATTCAGCCTGTTTTGCACACCCCATGATACGAACGGTTTTTACATACACACACTTTGATATTAAGGATCACTAAACTTTGAGCCCCAATTATGCAAAATGTTATGCCCAAAAAAGGGAATTCCATTTTCTTCATCAGTAGACCTATATTACAAAAAATTATACTCAGTTATTATATTTTTAATTTTATCAATAAAATATTTGTTTTCTCTAGTTATATAAGTACCTACATTAGTATCCTTGATTTTACCTTTTGGCCCACATAGCCTAAAGTATTTGCTATCTGGCTTTTTACAGAAAAAGTTCATGTGATCATATGTATTTAAAATAATACTCCATTTTAAAAGGATCATCTGAAGAAAGCAGGTAACACAACAGTATGTGAAACATCTTCGTTATATGTATTGATAAAAGGAAGGAAACAGGTATTGCTTAGAAGTTAGAAGCAAAGTCTCTGAAACCAAACTGCAAGATTCAAAACCCAATTGTACCATTTACTATTTTTGTTACCTTCAGAAAGTTACTTACCTTCTTGCAGCCTCATTGTCTTCATCTGTAAAATGGTGATAATAATTGTAATTTAAGTTCCAAGAGTTATTTTAGGAGTAACAGAGTTAATACACTATTAATACACTGTAAATCATTTTAGTGCACTTGACTACATAGAATACAATAAATGTCTGCTGTTATTATAATGGAGAAAAGAATGAGATAATAAATGGTTATCTCTGAGCGGTGGAATTACTGATTATTTTTCTTTTTTATATTTTGTATATATTTACTTCCTAGCTGAACATATACTAGTTATGTAATAAGACACTGTTTTATAAAATCTCTTAACTTAGAATTTTCAAGTATTTATATTGGCTGTCCTTTTAAAACATCAACTTTAAATGTTTTACCTTAAAACATTAATAGTAAACTTGGGTATTTGATATCTGTAATCTGCATATTTCTCCCTTATGCTAATGTTTTCCTATAGACATGGCCCATGGACATGGACATGAACATGGTCATAGTAAAATGGAACTTCCAGATTATAAACAATGGAAGATAGAAGGGACTCCATTAGAAAATGTCCAGGAGAAGCTTGCTGCACAAGGGCTACGGGATCCATGGGGCCGGTAAGAATAAATAAATAATTTAGATAGAATTTATCCTAGGGAATAAGTATCTATGTTCCTTTCAATATATTTTCCTTTTAAACATCATTGAAAATGGCTTTTTACATTAAAGTTTTAAAATCAGCCTTATTGGAGTATCATTTATATATTGTAAAAATCATCCATTTTAAGTATATAATTCTGTGAGTTTTGAGAAATGTATTCTACTTTGTAATAATCACCAGAGTCATAATACAGACTATTTCTGTCATCCCCAAAAGTTCCCTTATGCCCCTTTTGCACTCAGTGTCTTCCTATGTATCCCTGGCTCCTGGCGAACATTCATTTGCTTTCTGTCTCTATTGTTTTGCCTTTTCTAGAATTTTATACAATTAGAATCATACAGTATTTAATCTTTTTTTCTGGCCACTTTCACTTAGCGTAATGCTTTTGAGACTGATGCACACTGTTAACTTATATCCATAGAGCCTTCCTTTTTTATTGCTGAGTAACATTCTAGTATATGCACATACCTCATTTTTTATACTGTTCACCAGTTAATGACCATTTGGGTTGTTGCCAGTTTGGGGCTATCACGAGTCAAGTTGTTATAGCCAGTCAAGTACAACTCTGTGTGAACATATGTTTTCATTTCTCTTGGGTAAGTGCTTAAGAGTGGGATTTCTGGATCATATGATAAGTATATAATTATTTTTATTTTTAAACACTGTCAAACTGTTTTCCAAAGTGGCTATACCATTTCATTCCCACCAGCAATGTTTGAAAATTTCAGTTGCTCAATGTCCTCATCAATACTTGGTATTATCAGTCTTTTAATTTTAGCCATTCTACTGTTTTGATTTACATTTCCATGAAGACAGATGATCATGAGAATCTTTTCGTGTGCTTATTTGTCATTTGTATATTTTCCTTGGTGCCATGTCTATTCAGATCTTTTGCCCATTTTATTTATCAGTGTTTGTCTTTTATTGACTTATAAGAGTTCTCTATATATTTTCAATGTAAGTCCTTCGTCAGATCAAGTTTTGCAAATGTTTTTTCCTGGAGTATGGCTTATCCTTATATTTTCTTGATAGTGTCTTTAGAAGCCTTATGGTGTTCTTTTTTACATTTAGGCATGTGATCCATTTTGAGTTAATTTTTATGTCATGTGGAGTAAGAATAAAGGTTAATATTTTTGCATATGGATATCCAGTTTTCCAATACCATTTATTTTGTTTGTTTGTTTTTTGTTTTAGCTGAGCCATCCTGCCACCTGTTGACAGCTCAGTGGCAGCTCAGCTCGGGCCAGGACTCGAACCGCTGTTGTTCAGAGCGTACACTCTTGAGCAAGCTCTTAACCAACTGAGCCACTCGGACGGCCCTCCAATACCATTTATTAAAAGACTATCTTTTCCCTATTGATTTACCTTGATAGCTTTGTCAAAATCAATTTTGACAATATCTTTGTGGTCTGTTTCTGGATTCTGTTCTGTTCCCCTGATCAGTATATCTAGCCTTATGCCAGTACCACATTGTCTTCCAATCAGGTAGTATTTAAAAAAATTTTTAACTTTTCTAGATTCTTTGCATTGACATTTAAATTTTAGAATAAGATTTTCAGTGTCTACCAAAGCTTGCATGAATTTTAATTGGGATCACATTTAATCCATAGCTCAATTGCAGATAATTAATACCTTAACAATATTGAGTCTTCTAATCCATGGATGATTTAGATCCTCTTTAATTTTCTCAGCAGTGTTTCATTGCTTTACATACAGGTCTTGTACATATTTTGTTAAATTTGTCCTGAATTATTTCATATTTGTATGCTATTATAAGTGGTATTTTTAAACTTCAATTTCCAATTGTTCATTGCTAATATATAAAAATACAACTGAGTTTTTATATTGACTTTGTATCATATTACCTTGCTAAGTTCACTTTTTAGTTTCTGGCAATTTTTTTGTTTTTGCTTTTTTTTTTTTTTTACAGTTGATCATTTTGTCTATAAAGACAGTGTTAACTTCTTCCTTTTTAATCTATAAACTTTTTATTTCATCATTGCACTGGCTAACACTGCTAGTATAATGTCAAATACAAGTGATTTGAGTGGACATCCTTGCCTTTTTCCTAATTGTGGGAAAGCATTCGGTCTTTCACCACTAAGTATGATATTAGTTGTAGATTGGTCATAGATGCCCTTCATCAAATTGAGGAGTTTCTATTACTAGGTTACTGTGAGTTGCTCTTATTATTGTCATTCTTATTTATAGTTGTTAAATTGTGTTAATTGTTTTTATGCATGTATTGAGATGCTCACATAGTTTTTTTATTCCATTAATACGATGAATTGTTGTTATTGATTTTCAAAGATTAAACCAAACGTGAACTCTTGAGGTAAATAAACCCTACTTCATCATGATATCCTTTTTATATATTGCTGGATTCAGTTTTCTAAAATTTTGTTAAGAATATTTCTGTCTATGTTTATGAGGGATATTACTCTGTAGTTTTCTTCTGATGTCTTTGGTTTTGGTATCTACATTATATTTGATTAGTTGTCATATTTTTTAATAAGTCAGATTTTTAGACTTAAGTGACTTTTGTTCTTCATAAGAGGATTTTTTCCACTCACTTATCCCTATTTGTGAGATTTTTTTTTTTTTCACTAGATCTCTCTGACTTTTGTTTACTTCTCCGTTTAGGATATTCAAAAGAATGATTTCCAGAACAGGAAATCAGTCTTCTAAAGTTCAGGCTGCTATGACAGGGGAAAGCCATGATTCTCTTGCATAGTAATAATAATGTCAAATGTTACATACTCTCTGTGCCAAAATATATCATACTTTCCCCTGTATAATCTTTATAATACACTTATAAGGTAGATAGTAATCATCATTGAATAGGCGAGGAAGCAGGCCCCAACAAGTTAAGTAGCTTGTGCAGCCTAAAAGGTTGTGAATCTAGTGTAAGTGGCAGAGCAAAAATTAATACCCTTTAACTTCCTCTTTCCGTGATGCTGTAATGACTAGTATGGGCAGAGTCAAACAGCTGACTTGTGATGGATAGGCCAAAGTGAGTGTTGCATTTGAGAGTTTTGTAAAATCCTGAGTATTATAACTGAAATGTGAAAGCAAGTGTTTTTTTCTTCTATTTTATATGTGAAATGCGGACATATAGACCTAATTATCTAGTGCCACAGAAAGATACCTATTGTGATGCACTTAGATTATTTTATATAAGGTTGCATTTTTGTCTGTTAGATGAAAATGTATTCTACTCAATGAATGTGCCTACGTTGTATGTGATTATAATTTTTTCGTTTTTTTCTCTAGCAATGAAGCTTGGAGATACACGGGTGGCTTTGCAAACAATGTTTCCTTTGTTGGTGCAATACTAAAAGGATTCAAATGGGGATTTGCTGCATTTGTGATAGCTGTAGGGATTGAATATTACCTGGAGTCCAAGAAAGAAGATAAGAAGCATCACTGAAGACGATACCTGGAAGTATCTTAGTGGCTTCTTTACTCTCTTATAAAGATGAGATTTCTTCACTGTAGCCTACTCATCTGTGTGTTTGTCCCTTAAAGAATACTAATAAGATTTAATAAAGAATACATGTGCTAGTCCGTTTTTCTCATTCTTTAAAAAAAAAAAAAGAAAGAAAGAAAGAAAGAAAGAAAAGAATGTCTCAAGCTATATCAGATTTGATTTGAAATACGGGGGGGCTGAGTACCAGCAGCAGTGCATTCTGTATATAGCATACAGCCAGTATCTATTTGAACAAATGGATATGCTCTAACTGATTTTTTTTTCCAATTTTAAAAATTATGTTAACATTTTAACCATTTTTAAGTGTATAGTCAATAGTATTAAATACATTTGTAATGTTATGCAACCATCACCATCATACATTTTAATAACTCCTTTCATCTTTTAAAACTGAAAGTCTATGTGCATTAAACAGTAATTCCCCATTCCCCCCTTCCATCAGTCCCTGGTAACCACCATTTTACTTTCTGTCTCTATGATTTTGACTACTGTCTATTTAAAGTACCTCATATAAGTGGAATCATACAGTATTTGTCACTTTGTGACTGGCTTATTTCACTTAGCATAATTTCTCCAAGGTTCATCCATGTTGTAGCATATGTCAGAATTTACTTCCTTTTAAAAGCTGAATAATATACCACAATTTGCTTACCTGTTTGTTCATTGGTGGACAATTGGGTTGCTTCCACATTTTAGCTATTATGAATAATGCTGCTATGAACTTGGGTGTATTCTCATAGGTTTTTAAATCGGAGTTGGCCTTGTTGTATTTACATTCTCTGCAGGTGGTTTAGAGGGATCTGGATTATACTATAAAATACTTCCTGCCAAGTTCTGATTGTCATATCCATGTATCATGTTAAATTTTTATTGTGATAAAATTTATTCTACTCTTGGTTTAGTCCTCATTTCCATTTTGTGAAATTTTTGACATTTTTTTCTGTGTGTCTAACAATAAAGTAGACATTCTCCCCACATCATTGAATTTTAAATTTTTAATTAATTAAATTTCTAATTAAAGTTGAGACTTAAAACTCAGCTTGTTGAAGAGGGATAATATTTTTGCTTAAAAACAAAGCTAGTATAAAACTACAGGGTGTTTTTTTTTCTTTGTAAATATTTGTTTATAAATACAAACTTGAGAAATCACTAAGTAAATGAGACAGGAATTCCTAATAAGCTGACAGTGGTAAATGGAATCATAAAAAGCTGAAAGAAGGAAAGAGTTTTAACAAAGAACAAAAAGTAACCGGACAAATAGAAATAACAAGATGGTGGATTTAAACTTAATCATATTAATTATATTAAATGTAAATGGTCTAAATTTAAACTCTAAAACATTCCAGTTAAAAGACAGATTGTTAGCTTGGGCAAAAAGCAAGACCCACCTATAAGCTGTTTACATGAAAACCCCTTTAAAGACATAGGGTAAAAATAAAAGAATAGAAAAAGATAACACTGCAAAAACTAATGAAAAGAGTATTGACAAAATAAATTTTAGAATGAATTGTCACAAACAGGGACATTTCATAATAATAGAGGAGTCAGTTCATTAAGAAGACAAAAATCTTAAATGCATGTAAACTTCAAAATATATGAAACAAAAATACAGTTAAAATGGGCAAATTCACAATTATAGTTGGAGATTTCAACACTCCTTTCTAAGTAATCTATAGAATAAGTAGAAAATTAGGAAGGCTATTGGGCCGGCCGAGTAGCGTGAAGGTTAAGAGATGGCTTGGGACGCCAGAGGGCCCCGGTTCGGATCCCACATATGAGGGCCAGTGACACTGCCCTTTACAGCTAAGATGCTGAACAACAGCTCAACCTGGAGCTGGGCTGCCGAGAGTCGCCAGCGCCAGTGTAGGCTACAGCCCCTGTGGCAGCGGGTTGCCATGGGCTACCGTGTGTAGCCAGCAGCCGCAGTGAGCGGCCATCCAGAAGCCGGCGACTGATCTGCCTCACCCAGGAAGAGCGCAATGATGGTGCCAACTTGGGCCAGTGAAGCAACGTCCTCCACAACTAGACTGAAGACCAAAATGACAGCAACTTGTCTGTTCCCCTTCCCCAATTCCCCAGCGCTGTTCCCATCCCCCCAATTCCCCAATAAAAATCTTTAAAAAAAAAAAAAGCACTGAAGATGATTACATGTAAAAGTATTAGTCTATTTTGTATGTATGGCAAGTGCACGTAACAAAGCCTAAGATGGCATAGCTAGTAAGTTCCAGAGTAAGATTTTGAATCCAGGTCTGACTCCACAGCCCATAGTAACCCCTATATTACATTACCTATTATGTCATATGTGATAAATACCATAAGATACCATAAAGTGATCCTTTTGGATCTTTCCTCAGAACTACTTTCTAATTACACTTGATGTAACAATAGGAATTTTTAACAATCTAAAGTATGGCATGTAATATTTCATGAGAAACAGGAAAAATACAGTAATTTTACTGTATACCTGTACTTAGAAGGGAACTGTGTTTTTACATACCTAATGAAACAGATTCAGACATTCTTTGAAAGTAACATGAGGACTTTGTGGCATAGAAATTGTGTACAAAGACAAAAATATGGGAAGAATAGGAATTTATCCATGTTGAGGGTTAATGTGGAAGAAACAAATTAGGAGAAAATGAAAAAGGGAAAAGGGGTTGCAGGATATTGACGTGATGGAAGCAGTAGAGACAAGCAGAACTTAGTATATGATAGTGCATATTTACAGTTATCCACTTGCTGCTTCAATCAAATGCAGACCTTGATACTGTGGAAAGGAAATCCTTTATATTTTTAAAAGAAATGCACAGTCTGCATATTAATGTAAACTTGTTTAACTTTAGACACAGAGGACATTGGCAAGGCACTCTTGAATAGGAACTAGACAGAAGTAGAAATAAGAAATATTCCAGTAGAAATAAGCTGAGTCTTAACTTTAATTCTTCTCTTTCTCTTCCCTATTACTGATCATATTTGCCATTTTTCTTTATAGAAATTTGTTTTTCAGAGTACAGACTCATTTTCTAACATGGTGGTCCCACAAATGGGATACACACAACTCAAGGAATGTGCGTGACAATTCATTGGGGCAAGAAGAGAATATTTAAACATATTTGTATTTATTTTCATGTTTAATAAAAATAAATTCAATTTTGCTAATGTTTAATGTACAGATTGACAATGGGGTTTTCCCTCACTGGGTGAATATCAAGTGGTCACACAGAATTTATAGTAAGTAACGTATCCTGAGAGGAAAGTGGGAGTTCTACCTACCACAGGGGAGAATAAAGAGACTTTTCAGCAAATTGTTACAGATTGTATTTTATGTGTGCTCATGGAATTTATTATCTACTAGTTTTAACAAAACTTTCATGAAGTAGATAAGTGGCTTAAGACTTTTACAAAGAAGATGTGATTGAAGCTAATGCCACCAATGCAAGAACAAGCAAACTGGAAAATAACAGAGCTATGAACTTTTTTGTCAGCAACATTACCAGTAAATACAATGATCTAATCATGAAAAAAAAGTCGTTAAAAAAAAAAATCAAGAAGACCGAAATAAAGACTTTGACTTACTATCAGTACAATGAACCTTGCCCTAAGTGTATTGATCTGGAATGTTAACTAATGATGATAGCACATAGTCATCATGTTTAGCAAAACATTTAAAAATGTTCATTCTTTGTTTTACCTTTAATTTCTGTATTTGTGTATTCTTAGTGTACATAGATGATAATATTTACATATTACATATAGAATGTTAAGACAAATTGGGATTTAATGTGATTTCTCCATATAATATTTGGCTGTCATTAAAAAAATAGCATTCAAATAACTCATCAGATTTTAAAATGTTTTTTAAATGCACACTTTATTATATAAAACACAGGTAGTTTAGCAACAAAAATGAAATGTTATTTCATATGTTCTCTCACTCAATTGTCAACATTTTATAGTATAATTCTCAAGGGTCCTAGGATTCCCTAGAGTTGCAAGGTATTCAAATTCAAAGATGCTAATGAGAGTGGAATCTTCCAGGTGAGTACGGTTTACCTTCGCTATCAATTTTCTGGGAGAGGGGGAAGGTTTTTTCCCCCCCTTTTGTTTCCTTCTTGTTTTCGGTCAGAAAATCTGCTTCAGAAACTCAAAGACTAAAAGACCCAATGGAAATTGCATTTACGTGAGTCACGTGACAATGATTCTATCAAAAAGGATCTGTGAAGTTTTATTTTAATTTTATGTTACATATAAAATATAAATATACAAATAAAAATTAATTATTTGTTCAAAATACTAACTCATGTAAAGATTAAATTCCATATATTGTATTAGATTGAATTACCTTTGATATATATAAACAATTTAAAACCTGGCTTAAACCGTTAGAAAAAGACAAAATCCCTTGCCTCAAGGTCTACATTTTTTCTGTTTAATGTCACATGCCACAAAATGAAGTAACTCTTTTGAAATGTGGTCACGTATTACAAAACTAACTGAAAAGGATTTTGGTTGTTGCTAAAGACTTATGTTTCTGAGAAGCATTACAAAATAAGAACATTATGTGCAGTTCAGATGTAAGTCAGAAGGTTTTGTGCCATTTGAAAACGTCATGTGTTCTTATTTTGTGTTTTAAAACTGAAAAAATATTTCTTAATAATGCTCCAGTGCTCTTCAAAGCATATTATGGCTAAAAAGAAATACCTTGCTTTTAGATTTTTTTATAGTATTTGTAAATTATTAATTAAATCTCTCTGTAAATAAAGCCTTAGTACCCCCTGCAAATGTTTCTCTTACTCTAATTACTCAATTCCCAAACTTAATTTGGAAATAATAACAGCTAATTTAACTTAAATTTTCCTGATGATTTGGTAATTAATCAAACATTTTTCTAAATTTACTTATTTTACATTTATTGGTCATATGTACCTTGTAGAAAAGCTAAGAGATTGAAAAAAAATTTTTGCATTATGCATTTTAACAAATTGCACAATGAATTGGATGTTTTGTTATTATAGCTCTTCTTGTGCTGTATGTATGATGTATTTTATTTCCTTTAATCTCTTGCTACAAAGTTTCC